GAAAAATTAATTTTTGCGGCATGTTTGAAGTAAGATTCTGTATTTCAGGGCAAGGAAGATTTGATAACACAACTTAAGCGACATGTCGTTATGTCGTTTGTTTGTAAACAGATTCTTAGATGTAGATTAAATAGATTAATATCAGTATTTAGTAAATAAAGCTTTTGGTTCATTCTAGGCTCGTAGTTGTATAAATAGGTGTTGAACGATTCATTGTTCGGGCACCAATCAGATGAGCCATGAATCTTTCAAACATTTATTTATTTATGTCAGTATTATCTCTTTGATGATGGCAGATATCTTGTCCGTCGCAACGTCACACTTATTCTATTAAAAGATAACATTGTATATTGTTTTCTTTCCTACTGCTAACCATGAAATCGGAAGGCGTGATTGCTTAACAGTTTTCTGTCGTAGTCGTAGTCGTCAAAACTTGATCATAAAATTTGTCTCTACCCTATATTGCAACTAGGATTATTGCACCTGTAACTGGCTTTAGTTGTCATTTGCGTGTAGTCACTTTATCATATTTATCATCCCTTTGATCAGTCATTGTAGTCAGAACCATCATTGTGATAATGCTATCTTCGGAAGCATCTACAGCAATGAGGTCGGCTTTGTGTTTATGATCTCATTTGCCACTATATTCGCCGTTGCCATTGTCATAATCCTCACCATCTTGGAAACAGTTCAGGCAGCATGAACATTTATTATAATCGTCATCTGTTATTATTTTCATTGCCTTTGCCATCATAAACAGTGACAGTTACAAAGGAGTAGGCAGTGGTGACATTACGTTGTTGGTACCTTTGATGACTTCGAACTAAAATGCTTTTTCCTCCTCATTAGACACAAATATTTTCCGTTGTCCTGTTCGGCATGGTGATCAGCCTGATTTCCATCATGACTGTCGAAACTACCGGGATGATGAACAGTGTTCTGGTCTTTCCGCTCTTCAGCAGTCATTATGCAGATCATATTCAGTATGATTCATCTTATCATTGTTTTTATCGCGGTAAGTATCACCATTATCTAAACTGTCAGCAACAGTACAAAATCACTGTGCCCCTTTACACCAGTTTTCATGATCATTTGTGCTAGTCGTCATTGAAACCAGAAATAGCATAGATAAAATTTCATTCCCGTATGAGAGGAGAATGCGGTAGTCGTCGTTGCTGAGGTCCAAAGTGCCAATCTTCGCATGAGTAGCATTGTTTTGTTACCGATAATCATCTATTATCGTTATTGGTTTCAGTGGAAATCTACTCATTATCGTTTATATAATAAGAACTGTTAGCCGATTGAACATCCATTGATTCATCTTTCCATATCTTCATCGGTTATCTTTCATATCACACGTTTATTTTCATAGCCATGCCTCCTGCGATCGTCCTTGTCGTCAAACCTTCAGTACCTCTATGAAGGCTAGTCGTTTGCCATTCATCTTCAACGTTTAGCATTTGATAATAATCTGTGGCCATTTTCTCAACATTTCACATCTCATTTCATCAGGTCCCATTCGTATTCGTGCTTATATTTCACGCGTTGCTTTTCGACCACGTTTTTTATTTGTGCTCACACTTCACAGATCATCTTTATAATTGGTTAGTTTTTATTTTTTTATCCATGCTCATATTATTAGTGTTATTATCAGCCGCAGCATCGGAAAGTTGATATTGTCTTTTCAGTTCTTTTTCTGAAAATCTTCTACCTTATTGTTATTAATGTCATGATTTTCCTAATAATCAGTAATATAGTTATGCTTATCATCGTTATAATCAAGATCTTGAATTTCAGCATCACCACCGTTTCACATTCCTGCTC